CAAGTTCAAGCATCGAGTCCAGCTCAAGCTTTGAGTCTAGCTCAAGTACTGTGCCAAGTTCAAGCATCGAGTCCAGCTCAAGCTTTGAGTCTAGCTCAAGTACTGTGCCAAGTTCAAGCATCGAGTCTAGCTCAAGTACTGTGCCAAGTTCAAGCATCGAGTCCAGCTCAAGCTTTGAGTCTAGCTCAAGTACTGTGCCAAGTTCAAGCATCGAGTCCAGCTCAAGCTTTGAGTCTAGCTCAAGTACTGTGCCAAGTTCAAGCATCGAGTCTAGCTCAAGCTTTGAGTCTAGCTCAAGTACTGTGCCAAGTTCAAGCATCGAGTCCAGCTCAAGCTTTGAGTCTAGCTCAAGTACTGTGCCAAGTTCAAGCATCGAGTCTAGCTCAAGCTTTGAGTCTAGCTCAAGTACTGTGCCAAGTTCAAGCATCGAGTCCAGCTCAAGCTTTGAGTCTAGCTCAAGTACTGTGCCAAGTTCAAGCATCGAGTCCAGCTCAAGCTTTGAGTCTAGCTCAAGTACTGTGCCAAGTTCAAGCATCGAGTCTAGCTCCAGCACTGGCCCTAGCTCCAGTACTGGCCCTAGCTCCAGCACTGGCCCTAGCTCCAGAACTGGCCCTAGCTCCAGCACTGGCCCTGGCTCCAGTACTGGCCCTAGCTCCAGTACTGGCCCTAGCTCCAGCACTGGTCCAAGTTCAAGTACTGGACCTAGCTCCAGCACTGGTCCAAGTTCAAGTACTGGACCTAGCTCCAGCACTGGTCCAAGTTCAAGTACTGGACCTAGCTCCAGCACTGGTCCAAGTTCAAGTACTGGACCTAGCTCCAGCACTGGTCCAAGTTCAAGTACTGGCCCAAGCTCAAGTACTGGTCCAAGTTCAAGTACTGGACCTAGCTCCAGCACTGGCCCAAGCTCAAGTACTGGCCCAAGTTCAAGCACTGGCCCTGGCTCCAGTACTGCACCAAGTTCAAGCACTGGCCCTGGCTCCAGTACTGCACCAAGTTCAAGCACTGGCCCTGGCTCCAGTACTGCACCAAGTTCAAGCACTGGCCCTGGCTCCAGTACTGCACCAAGTTCAAGCACTGGCCCTGGCTCCAGTACTGCACCAAGTTCAAGCACTGGCCCTGGCTCCAGTACTGGGCCAAGTTCAAGCACTGGCCCTGGCTCCAGTACTGGGCCAAGTTCAAGCACTGGCCCTGGCTCCAGTACTGGGCCAAAGCCACCTTTCCAAAACTCTACTATTTCTTCATTGGTTACATCTACTCAGTCGACCACGGTGACATTGACTTGCACTGAGTGCACAAAACAAACTACCTCAACCACGACAGTTTCCTGTAGCACTGAAACCACCGGAAACAATACTGACAAGTCGAAGCCCAATCCAGATACAATTAATGAAACCAAAGGTGGTAACGAATCTTCTACTGCTAAAATCACTACTATTACTACCACTACTGCTGATACAACACTGAAATCAACCAATGGCGCAGGCAAGGGAGAAGATAATAACACTTCCGAGCAGGCTCCATCAAATGCATCTCAAGGAAGTTCAGAAACTAAAGCAAGTGTCTCCACATTACTTCAAGTTTCATCTAGCGCTGCGGTTGTTGTTCCTACAGTGTCTGCCTTTGCAGGCAGTGGGTCTACCATGGCATTATCATCCTTGATGAGTGTGGTCGCCTTACTTGTATCATTGTTATTTTAAACTATTTTTTTCGATTTTCAAAGAAAGAAAAACCTTTTCACCATTTTTTATTCATTTCGCAAACAAGACAGTTTTTCTTTTTGAAACATATATTGGGATACTCGCTTTTTTCGGTTTCTTATTCATAATTGTATTAATCGATATGATACATTTTTTTACCTTAGAAGATTAGATTAGCTTTTCACATATTCACAGTCTTTCAAATATTCACAAATTAATATAATAAACGCTTATTTTTGCTCTTTTATAGCAAGTACTGGTTTTTTTTTCCCCCTCTTTGTTTGAAAAAAGGTGGCGAGGAGAAGAAATCGATATTGATCAGTAGATTGAAAAAAGTAGCTCTTTTGATAGAATAGCCCTATTGTAAACAGACCAGCGTATACACTGATGCTAATGAGTGCTGGAAGGTGTTTTACGTTTCGCTATAAAGTGGTATTATAAACACCTTTTTCTAAAAAAAACAAGAGGGACACCATTTAATTTTCTAAGGTTGTGGCACAACGAATGGTTGATTTAATCGCTGAAACTTGTTCTATTGCAAATTACTAAAAGTTTTGTCTCCTACATGTTGACACAATGTTCTAAACCTTGGTTTGTTGATTGCAATACTTGATTCTCTGTTTCTTCCATAATCCTTCTATTCTTCAATCTATTTTTGAGTCTTTTTTTTAGTCACTTGTAGCAAGACGTTAACTGGTTTTTCGTGTGACATTTAATTTTTTTAAATCAAACTAAAACTTTACAACTTGTAGTATGTGGTTTCTAGTTTTGATTTCTTTGAGAGACTATTTTGTGTCCAAACTGTCGAGAATAGATATAAACGAACTACATTTGACTTCCTTTCAAGGGGTATACACATTTTTTATAAGCGAGTGGAGGGAGGAAAGATTTAAAGTTAGAAGGTGGGGAAGTGTTGTAACTGGTAGGTGAGGAATATGTTTCTACTGTTGTTATTAATATATGACAGAGTAAGCTCCTCCCTCATATTTCTACAGACTCTGGCGAATTCATATTGAAAACTACAATTTTCAATGAAGAATTTACTTGCCTTTATTATCCTACCTTTTCCTTTAAAATTATTACATTCTTTTTCCCAACAACAAGTTTTACAATTTTAGACTTTTCCCTGTTTCTTTTTCACAAGACATTATTTAGTATCTATTCCAAAGAGTAGAGAAAAATACCAAGAGTGTAAAATTTTACTAGTGAGTAAAGCAACTATCATTTTACTAGTGAGTAAAACAACTATCATTTTCAACTAAAAAAAAAAAAGTGAAAACTTTAGAGATATAACATGCAAACTAACTCACCTCGACTCGCAAAGTTAGGTCGCGTTCACGATTTAACTCAATTTATATATATATATATATATGTCATGCAATCTCTATAAGCCTTGTTTTTTTCCTTGTTGTTCTTATTATTATTATTATTATTATTTTCATGTATTGTTTTTCAAATGTCTCATGTATAAATACTATACTAAGTTAAAGAGGAAAAATTGAATGTGTACATTCGGCTGTATGTTGAAAAAAAAATGGCCAAAAAGGTAGACGCGATGTTCGTCTCGAACGACGTGGCTATTTGCAGTTAATTCATTCATTTTACAATTTACACATATATTGTCACTCCCTTTTTTTCTCTCGCTTTTCTTACAAAATCGTGGCGTAGTCAATTGGAAAAAAAAAAAAATACTATAGCTTAGATACGAGAATAGAGCCCTTTTCTTCACAAATCAAAAGCTAATTTGCACACTTTTAACTGTGCACCTTGTGAATAAATACGCGCCAATACTTACTAGTGTTAAGTGAGTTGTCTCCTCTATATTTTACTTGTTTCTTACCCTGATTTTTAATTCTTTTCCAAGTTCTCATAGTTTTCTCAAAAAAGACAAAAAAAAAAAAAAAGGAAATTAATATTGTTTCGATCCAAACGTAAATTAACTCTTACTCACCCGCTGGTAGTATCACGATTTTGTTAGTACTTTTGATTACTTATCCTTTCTTCCATTAAACACAATACTTACCAAACTAGACTCATTCGTCCCCTTCTCCACCTCCTTCTTCTCCATTTGTCACAACCAAATAGTGTTTTTTTAACTAATAAACCTCCGTCTTTAAGTCATTTTTTGATCATTGTCACACACTACTCACCTATCATTTGCATTCATCCTCAATTCTCTCTCGTTTTTTTTTTTTTTCTTCTTCTTCTAAAAATAAAAGGAAAAAAATACATATATATATCTACATACATATAAATATATATCAAACAATCTCAAATATCAACATTTAGAATCATGGTGAACGGTCCAGCTGAGCTTCGTAGAAAGTTGGTTATTGTCGGTGACGGTGCCTGTGGTAAAACTTGTTTGTTGATTGTTTTTTCTAAAGGTACTTTCCCCGAGGTATATGTGCCAACAGTTTTCGAGAATTATGTTGCTGATGTTGAAGTTGATGGTAGAAAAGTCGAGTTAGCATTATGGGATACTGCTGGTCAAGAAGATTACGATAGATTAAGACCTTTATCCTACCCTGACTCGAATGTGATCTTGATTTGTTTTTCGGTTGATTCTCCAGATTCGTTGGATAATGTATTGGAGAAATGGATTTCAGAAGTCTTGCATTTTTGTCAAGGTGTTCCTATTATCCTTGTTGGGTGTAAATCCGATTTAAGAGATGACCCTCATACGATTGAAGCTTTGAGACAACAACAACAACAACCTGTTTCTACTGCAGAAGGTCAATCTGTTGCACAGAGAATCGGAGCTGCTGATTATTTGGAATGTTCTGCAAAGACTGGTAGAGGTGTTAGAGAAGTCTTTGAAGCTGCTACTAGAGCTTCTTTGAAAACTAAAGATAAGAAGGAAAAGAAGAAGAAGAAATGTGTCATTTTGTAAAAGAAAAAAAAAGAATTGTCATACAAAGAGTTATGGAGGAAATATATTAAAGTTATAAGTTAGTCACAGCTTTTCAACTCTTACCTTTAACCTCTTACCTTTAACCTTCATTTCCCACAACTACAACTTGAACTCCCCCCCCCCCCCCCCCCCCCCCCCCCACCCCTTTCTCTTTTCCTTTCTCTTCCCCTGAACCATATCAACAAAGTAAACACTGCAAAGGTTACTTTGTTTGATTTTTGGATTCAAAATCAAATAAACACTGTGTCACTGAATGAAGAAATCGAAGGGGGGGGGGGGAAAAAAAATGTACTGAAACAAGAACCACAATGGAAAAAAAAAAAAAAAAAAACCAAAACCAAAACCAAACGAACAAACCAACAAACAAAAAAAGAAGGTAAAATTGTATGGATTTAACCAAGGGGTGATTTGCAATCAAAGCACACAAGTTCATTCCCTTTTGATCTCCGACCTCCTAGAATGGGTTCTTTAAAATCATTTATCAAAGCTGTAAGAAAAGCCAAGACTATTGCTGATGAAAGGGCGGTTATTCAAAAAGAATCGGCTTCTATAAGGACGTCTTTTAGGGATCTTAGTCTTGACCAAACCACAAGGCGAATTAATATATCCAAGTTGTTGTACCTATACATTATGGGAGAAAAAACCCATTTTGGTCAAGTTGAATGTCTTAAGCTTTTGGCGTCGCCAAGATTTGCCGATAAGAGATTGGGGTATCTTGCATGCATGTTGATTTTAGATGAGAACCAAGAAGTGCTTACCTTATTGACAAACTCGTTGGATAACGATATGCAACACCCGAATTCGTATATCGTTGGGTTAGCACTTTGCTGTCTTGGAAACATTGCCTCGCCAGAATTGGCACGAGATTTGTACACTAATGTTGAAACAATTATGGATACCAAAAACAATTTTTTGAAGAAAAAAGCATGCTTTGTTGCTGCGAAATTAGTTGAAAAAGAACCTGAGTTGTCGGAATTTTTTTTGCCCAGGGCATTGGATTTGATCAATGAAAAGAACTCTTCTGTCTTGTTGGGTACATTGAGATTGATTGAAGCCTTGTGCAAAGTTTCCGAAGAGAACAAGGCTAGTTTGGTCATCACTATTCCCAAAATTGTCAATCACCTAAAGAGAATCACAACCAGTGGATACCAACCAGACTACGATGTTATGGGTACAACTGATCCATTTTTGCAGGTTAGCCTTTTGTCTACTATTAGAACATTGGCAGTGGGACAACAATACACAGAAGAGGTAAATGATATCCTTACACAAGTTGCATCTAATTTGGATAGCGGGAAGAATGCAGCGCACGCTATTTTATACGAATGTGTCAAGACTATATTCGCTATAGATTCCGATCAGTCTTTGAAGATTTTAGGTGTTAACCTATTGGGTAAATTTTTATCAACGAGGGATAACAACACTAGATATGTAGCGTTGGATACATTGTTGAAAATAGTCAATATTGAGCCCTTGGCAGTGCAAAGACACAGGACAATCATTGTAAACTGTTTGACTGATGAAGATATCTCCATCAGAAGAAGAGCTTTGGAACTTTCGTTTGGTATTATAAATGAGCAAAACATACGCGTTATGGCAAGAGAGATATTATCCTTTTTAGAGAATTGTACCAATCAAGAGTTGAAATCGTATGTTACCTCGCAGCTCACGATTGCAGTGAGTAAATACTCACCTAATGAAAAGTGGCGTTTTGATACTTTAGTACGGACACTCAAGGCCGGCGGTAATTGCGTGACTCCAGATATAATATCCAACATCCTCGCATCGATATTGCAGTGCAGTGATCAAGAGTTGAAGAAACATATTGTTGCAAAATTGTTAGCTGCGTGCTTGGAAGATGGTGATCAATATGGCCTAGCTTTGATAACGACATGGACTTTGGGTGAATATGGAGATATAATTTTGGGAACGCAAGTTGAAGTAAAAGGTAAGTCAATCACTGTAGAGGAATCAGTAATCAGTGATTTGTTTGATACTTTGCTTGTCAATTCTATATATACGGACCAAGAATTGGTGCAGTTGACCGCTTTTATATTAACAGCTACGTTGAAATTATCTATCAAATTCAAAAATCCAAAAGTCATTGAACACTTGAGGCAAATAATCAACTCAAAAACATATGATCTGAATCTTGAAATTCAAATCAGAGCCGTGGAGTATCAAGAGATTTTTGGCCAGGATGCTGTTTTGAAAAGAGGTTTACTCGCGAGAATGCCTCCACCACCAATAAAAGAAAGAGAATCTTTAACTTTGCATAAATCTAATACCAATACTTATTCCACCAACAGCACTACTACCGCGCAAGTGAATAGAGGCAACAGTGCATTCTTAAAAGGTGCTGCGTCTCGACAAGATAACTTACTATTGGATTTATTTAACACTGAAGATGATGGACCTAAAACCACTACCCAAAATGACGTTCTTTCTGATATATTCGGTAATAGTAGTGGTAGTAGTAGCAGTACTGCTGCAACCACTACTACTACTGCTACATCTACTACAGTGCCTTCTTCATCAGCAATTAATGTGTTTGAAAACTCCAATATCAAAGTTGTGTTTGTGCCACGAGATTTTGCCGGTAATGGCGAGGCCACTATCGAAGCAGTGGTTACTTCCAATAATTCACACTCAAAGATTGAACAAGTTCAATTATTGATTGCGGTGCCCAAGACACAAAAATTGAATATTACATCTACTTCGGGAAAAGGTTTCTTGGTATATGGAAAAGATCAAATTAATCAAATTTTAAAAATAGTCGGTAGGCCAGGAGCCAAGCTCAAGCTAAGAGTGAAATTGAAATATAAAATTGATGGCGTACCAACTGAAGATCAATTTGATTTTGCCGGATTTGAAAAGACTTTGTAATTAATTACCAGAGTACAAAACTTACTTGGGTTTTCTCCTTACCTCCCCCCACTCCCCCCTCCCCTCTTGGTAGGGTTTAGTTTTCGGTATGGTGTGGTTAAAGAACATTTATAGATCACTAAAAGTCTAGCGTGTGAAAATACAAAAAATAGTTCAAATCAAAAATCCTTATTTAGCGAAAAAGAAAAAAAAAATTGAAAACCGTTTTTCGTTTTTACCTTTTTTTTTTTTTCTTTTCTTTTTTTTGCAACATCTGTAAAGGTTAGCACATTTTGCATCCATTACCAAATTCCAGGTGGACCTTTTAACGGCAAATTATCCAACCGTCATCTCAAACCTGAAACGAGCCCAAGAGTTAGGAGTGTAATATGTGCAGTATTTATTTGACACTAATACAGAGAGTTTCAAGTTTTTAAATCTCTTTCATCTCTTTTTCATCTTCTTTTACTTCTTCTTTTGAAAGATTACCATAAAAATCAGTTTGAAAAAAAAAGAGAAAATGATGTATAGATTAATTACTCAACCAGGATTACGCCACTCAGTACTCAAACAACAAGCGTACAAGCAAGTAGCAAGAACCATATCAACAGATATTAACAATGGTATCAAGGGACAAAAGGTTTGGCCAAATTGGCAAACAGTTGCCGTAACATTTTCTAAACATAAAGTAAGCATAGTTGGATGGTCTTCTTTCTTGGCATTTTCGTTATTTGGCTTGCCATATTTGACCCAGGAATGATCCGATTATAGCAACAATGTTTATAATGAAACTGGAGCTTAAGTGGCAAATAAAAAAAGGGTAGAGAGAAAGAGAGAGTGAGAGAGAGAGAGAGAGAGAGAGGGAGAGAGGGAGAAAGATCAGGCCTTTTATTGCAGCAAATAAATGCTTATTTATACATATACATACTTTTATAAAGCAAATCTCCTAGATACCAGTTTGTAAAACCTGAGAAAATACTCTTTACGAATTAACTAAATACATCCCATAAAAACCTTGTTCTACCAAATCTCACCATGTTTTCAACTTCTCTTTTCTGCAAACTATGCAATGCTCTTAATTCTGAGTCTAACAATAATTCATCTTCATGGCCTTCCACGTCGATACGATTACATTTTTCCAACAATATCTTGTGCTCCAACTTGAATTCAATTATGTTTGATAAAATTTCGGCCATATTGAAAAGCAAGCAATTGCTTAAACTTTCAAACGATACAAAATCTTTTTGCCTGTACAAGTAAAAAGTTTTCGATGCAGCACGATCAAGACTTCTTGGTACTTCTTGAATCTCCACTAAATTGGCCTTTATAAGCTCATATATTATATTTCTCACTTCTTTTTCATTAATTAAAACTGCATTGGCTATAGTTTTTTCATCTGCCAATTTCAAGAGCTTGATGCATCTATACACTCGCAATGCATGTCTTCCTAGCGTTATTTTGATTAATGTGTTGATATGAAATTGTTTTACTTGAGTTGAAAGATAGTTGAAAGGAACACTGTATTTTCCTGGCGAAACTTCATTGATAAATCGAATGTTTGTTTTTGATGCTAATATTTGCAAATGTTGTTCTATTATTGACAAATCATCTTCTACCTCATCGTTTTCTTCAAAGTCCGGGCTGGTTGCAGTGGGATAACTTTCCCCATTTTCTAGTTTGATTTTTTTAGTAGGAGCAGCAGCAGTAGTAGTAGTAGTAGTAGTAGTAGTAGTAGTAGTAGTAGTAGAAGCTGTTGATGAGGTATCTTCGAGCGGCCTCTTACTACCCAATTGACCTGATGCTGCTACAATAGAACCTTTCAAATCCAAGACTTTGGGGTAATTCCCCAATACGTCTTGTGCGGTGAATACAATTTTCTGCTCACTAACCAATTTGCTTTCCATATTATCTTTAAAATGTTGAATATCAGTTGGAGTAGATAAAAGCCCTGGTATTTCTAAAAAGGGATGTGATAGTTCGGGACTATTATTTTCCATATTTTTCAACACTGTTTCAAAAATTTTAGAAGTAACGAGTCCAACTCTTGATTTTGCCAACTTTACAAATGCTTCTGTCCTACAATGTTTTTGAAATCTAGATAGGTTAAAAGTAAGGACCAAATTTGGATTTAGTCTCCTATACCCCTTTTCATAAATGTACAACTCCGAAGATGAGTGGCTTGATTCTAACAATTCTAAAAATTTCTCTTTACAAAGTTGTTGAACTTCCGCTTGACGTTTAACTTCAGACTCTGAGGCAGATCTAGGTGTAGCTTTTAAAGTCTCATCATATAACTTCTCCCATATATCATTTACATGATGAGAATGGAAAGGTTTCAAAGTTTTTAGCCAGCCCTCATTGAGTAACTTTGAAAACATCTTTTCCTTTTCCGCTCGCAGCGTAAGGTCATTATCATTATCATTATCATCACCATCACCATCACCATCACCTCCTCCTCCTCCTCCTCCTCCTCCTCCATCTTTTCCACCAAACTGTTTTAAATAGTCCTCAATTTTGATATGACCATGAATGAGAACGTTTTGAATGATTTCTGCTTCATCCTCTCCGTATTCTTGAGAAATATGTTCCAAAATGTCTCCACTATAAATAATTTTTTTCAACCCGGTCTCATCAAGGGAATAATAGGTCTTTCCCATATCTTGCCAAAAATACAAACAGTTCAATTGAATTAGGGAAACCAAGACGGATTTGACTGAAGTTAGAGAAATAGTTGTCTTGAAACTAATCTCTCTAGCTGTTAGTCTACCGCTGGCGATTAAAGCGGTGATTATAGCTGCCGCTGTCACATCTCCTAAATGAGTTTGAGCTATTAATGAATACAAGTATGATTTCGGGGATTGTGCACGGACAGCAGCAAGAAAATCCTCGTCCATAATAGGTAATGGTGCTTTATATCATGAAAAGAAAAAAAATAGCAAAAAAAATTTAAACGTATATAGGTACCTTTTATTGTTGGTTGTGGTGGTGAGGATCCAAAGTTGAAATTTATTTCTCATCTCATCTCATACAAAATTGGATTTTTTTTTTCTTCTTTTAATAAATACTCTTACATTGTAACGAGCTAGTGAATGGAGACACAAGCTGTATTAAGACGGTTGTATAGACAAACTCCGTATCCACTATCGAGCAACACTATCGAGCAACACTATCGAGCAACACTATTGAAAGCGACGTAGTGGAGCAGCACTAGCTACACCTCTGAAAGCGAGATAGTGTTGTAGTAGGCTACAAACTGTTGTTCTACTATCTCGCTCTGCTCGATAGTGTCGGTGTCGATGGTGTTGTAAGAAGCTACAAACCGTTGCTCCACTGTCTCGCTTTGCTCGATAGTGTCAATAGTGTTGTAACAAGCTACAAACTGCTGTTCCACTATCTCGCTCTGCTCGATAGAAGTGTTGGTGTTTTTCCTTGCAGCCACATCGACTGCGGCTTGTCCAATTTTACTATTTTTTTGTAGAATCGATTAGCCACAAGATGAAATCGACACTAAACATTTAGGTGGAGTTATACTATTGGTTTGCTCTATGGATATATACTATTGTTTTGCTCTATGGATATATACTATTGTTCTGCTCTATGGATATATACTATTGTTCTGCTCTGTTGGTCTATTCCGTTGCTCCGTTACACTTTTACACTCTATACTAATACATACTATTACTCTATTCTATTACTCTCTTTTATTACTCTATTCTATTACTCTATTCAATCTTCAAACGCTACCAAATGCCCAACCATCTCTCAATACAACCCAAGTATTTCTCATAACGGTATTTACTGATAAAAGGAAAAATAAATTGTAAAAGAGATAAGCGCATTAAATTCATAGTATACCCTCTCAAAGTTTATAATCCTAAACTATTACTCATAAATTCTTATCAGTGCAACAATACAACAACACAAACAACAACACTTTTTAATACGATCCGTCTTATTACTTGATACATAAAATTAAACACGATCTAGTATAGACTAACTTTATATAGCATTTTATTCTCCAACAGACTTGCCGTTCTTTCAATAACTACAACTACATCATTGCTTTCTAAATTCTGCTCAGCTACACTCCCCTCCCTCTACACATATACTTACTCCTCCCCCCGCATACACGTCTTTACTTGAAAGCAGTCAACAACAAACACGTCTCAACAGGTTCTCTATCTTACAACCACAATTTCTTTTTTCTGCTGTATTACTTTTACTTTTTTTTTTTTTCGGAACACTCCCCCAATCTATTTAGAAAAAGCTTCTATATTAGTCACCTCAATATCTTCCCTATCGCTTGGGAGAAACACCAACTGATTACTATTAGGGAAATACAAATCTAACCTTTACATTGCAATTGCACAGCATTTAATTTTTAAGATAAAAAGTGAGAATACCCTTTTGACTGCGAACAAAAAAAAAATATATCTATATATATATATATATATGTATATTATTATGGTTCCTTTCCCTCTTTGAAAATACTATGATAAAACAACAAGAACAGCAGTAATAGCAACAGCAGTAACAACAATAGCAATAGCACAGGCCCAAAACTAGCTGGAAATACCATTTGCATCAAACCCGTGTGTTTAAATCTTTTTTAATTTGCCAATCTTTCCCTCGCCTCGCCCCCCCCCCCCCGCATCCCGCATCCTCCCTATTCTTGCAAAAATGTCGATGGACACATACAAGCCACCAACGACAGCAGATAAAAAGCAAATTGCAAAGCTACAGCAGGTATTGATTAATTTCTTTACAAAAGCTGCTCAAATCATACTAGACTCTAGATCGTCTCCAGAGCCGCTGCAATTTATGAGTCAACCTTCACAACTTTATCTTGTTCAAGTTCAAGAAGATCCAAATCTCAAGATCAACAAATGGTTTAATCTTCATATGCCATCAACTCTTGCTACTTCTAAAGATGAGTTGAAGATGTGGAAATCTTCGGATTTGACTAATCTACCACCGATGATTATCGAGACTTATCTTGATCTAAGACAATTGCCATCGAATCAAACTTTGGTTTTATTTGACGAGAATAAGCATCCTTGGACAGTAGCCAGATCAAGTGGTAAAAAACAAGAAGTTGTATTGGAAAGGTGGCTAATCGAATTTGATCAAAAACAACCGGGCCAAGTTGTGGATGAACTACCTTTGATTTACAAACAAGCAATTGTACTATTTAGAACAATATACGGATTCTCGAGATTGATGCCTGCTTACAAGTTGAAAAAGAAAAATTCAAACAAGTTACCTTTGGGGAATAAAATATTGGACGGTAACCAGCCTATCAGTTCAAAGGGAAGAATCGGGTTATCAAAAGCAATAATCAATCAACAAAGTACTTCAACAGAGCCGTCTTCGCACATGACTCAGAAGAATTTTCAACCTATAAGTACCAGCTTAGGTTCGTTGAAGATATCTATTGCATATAGAAATCACTACGATTTTAGTATATCTGAGAATGAGGAAGTTTTATCGGTTCATTTTATCAAACACGATGAAGATGCAAAAAAGCACATGTCACTATCTCCATGCTCTTCGTTGACGTCGTTTAAAGATAATTTATCACTGTTTAATAAAGAACTTTCAACTTCACTCAAAAAGAGTACATCAAACGCAACTTCATTTAAAATTGGATCTAATTCCCCACCACCACCAACTCAACCTCAGAATCAAGCTCAAATTCAGAATCAGATTCAAACTCAGACTCAAACTCAGACTCAGACTCAAACTCAGGCTCACTCTCAGGCACACTCTCAAATACCATCACAGACGGGACCTACAACAATTGCCACCCCTGGCGGAGCTACTTCTCAACCGCAGAATTTACAATCGAGTTCGTTAGAAAGGAAAGTTTCAATTACAAGTAGTAAATCGATCTCAAATGCATCACTAGCTGCTTTTCTCAGAAATCCAAGAACCAGTAGCACCCCTTCGTCTACTAACATTCCAATCGTTAGTACCAGTAATAATGCATACAGCACTTCAATTCCACGCTCAATCGGATCCTCGACTGGTCAGGATGAGGGGATTTTCACTAATCCCGATAGCACAAATAACACGCCTAGATTTTCCTCTTCTTTTGGATCGCGAGCAAGTCGAAGATTCAGTAATACCAGTATCAGGCAACAAACACCGCAATCCGATTATTTCACACAAGGAAACAATAGTGTTGATGCAGCATTGAGTGGTTTATATGGAGATGATGACATTAGTGACTTTGTACGAATGATTGACAGCACATCAGACTTGAAACTCTCGGGCGGACATAGTAGCTCACACGACTCAGAAACTAGAATTAGATCAATACCCGAGGTTGAAGGTGGCGAAGAGAGGTACGCTTTAAAGAAATATCAACTGTTGAGGAATAAGCATCAACAATTGGGAGATAGTGTTAATGCAAGTGTGATTTTGCAATCACGACAGAGTAGTCGCAAGAGTTCGTTGAATTCACCTGCTAGTTCATATGATCAAAATCAAGTAGTAGTTTCATCAGCCCATTCTTTAAGGGCAAGAGAAATGAGCCCGCCCTCGCGATCTGGAAGTATTGAACCAAATCGACCCACAATTATGTCGAGGATAAACTCGATAAATACTTCATTACCTACACCTGTCATTACATCGAGTGCCAATGAAATCCCTACCATCACCAACATCACCAACAACACCAATAATAATAACAACAACAACAAAAACACCACCACCACAACAACAACAACAATTATAACATCATCATCATCATCATCATCAATGGCTACAGCTCACCCAAATAGAATGTCATCTATACAAACAAGTAGTTTAACCAATAGAGACAGCCAAAGTAGCTCTATTATTCCAAATATCAAGAGTGGAGCAACAACAGTTGTGAGTGGTATGGCAACTAGTCCCTCTATATATGAATATAGAACTTTATGTTATAGATGTGGTGACAATAACTACAACGAAGATGATCCAAATTCTGATCAACAATATGACCCCAAGTCAAGGAAGTTATCGAGGAAATATGAAGAAGAAGAGGATGATTTACTTTTTGCAATGAGTGACATGAATCCTAAATGAGTATAGCATTTTTTTTTTTTGTTGTTGGTGCACTTTAGAGTTTGGTGTTGGTGCACTTTAGAGTTTGTCGTTGATGCGCTTTAGAGTTTGTCGTTGATGTACTTTAGAGTTTGTCGTTGATGCGCTTTAGAGTTTGTCTTTTTTTTGATTTTGATTAAAGAGTCTACTAGCAAGGTGTATTGCAAAATTAAACTTGGCTGTTCTTTTTCTTTTTTTTCCCGTTATTTTAATTTTCTTTTTTTTTTTTTTTTTTATCCTAATCCTCTCAGTTATTATTGCACAAACACTATAAATGGAGTTAAGCAGGTATGGTATTAATTATTAGTAGCGGTTATATATATGCATATATACATATATACATATTATGTGATGATTCTATAATTCTTTACTCATCCGAATCTTGACCTGGGTTACATGTTTTATAGCCCAACAAGATGAGTAATCTCCAAACACCCCATGCCAAGACGGCACCTAAAATAGGGCCAACCCAGTAAATCCAGTGGTAGTTTGGGAAAGATCTTTTTGCGATACATGGACCAAAAGATCTAGCAGGATTCAAACCAGCTCCCGTGTAATAAACACAAACCAAATGGCCCAAGAATAAGGCAATACCAATTACAAATGGAGCCATAAATGTTGCTCTTGACTTTTCAACGGCCATCATCAATACGGTAAAACACAAAATAAAAGTACCAAAGGCTTCCAAAAAGACTCCTCTTGACCTTGAAGCTCCGCCTCCCAATGCATTGGCAAATGCAATTGGACCAGGAGTCATTGCAGATGCAGCACCAGCAGCAGCCATACCTGCAATGACTTGGGCAACCATCATAACCACACCTCTAATTGGGTTAACTGCTTGGGCCAATATCAAAGTCAAAGTCACAGCCGGGTTCAAGTTACCACCGGAAACTCTGAAAAACATAAATACACTCATCATAACTCCGAATCCAAATCCAAATGAGATCATAAGCAATTGCATTGGATCCGAGCCTTGACCTTTTGGCGGGATAGTTGGATCTTGATTTGCAATTTGAGCAATGACAAAAGCTGTCCATAAGAAGATAAATGTACCAAAGAACTCACCCAAAAATGCAATTAAATGGTTTTGGAACGCTGAATTGGTCAAGTGTTGTTTATACCTTGGTTCAAATCTTGGTCTTTGTTGTTCAATATCATCCGGGGTAGGAGATGCGACATCGTTACTTGTATCAACTGAAGCAGCAATCGTCATTACGTTCTTAAAAAGATGGAATAATATTTACTAAGCTAACCAGAGTTGTAAATGAAAGGATTCACAAGGGAAAGAACTTGGTATCTAAACTTTTACTACAGAGGGAGAAGAGAAAGATTGTCAATCTTTGCTGCTTATATATATATACCCCATAAGAGAAGAGGAATTGAAAAGCATACATATAAAAACAATGTGCTTATCCAGCATTTCAGCAAAGCTGACAATTTTTTTTTTTTTTTCATAACCAACCAACATATGTACGTTACAAACCTGAAATCCATCAGTACCTACTTATTTATTTAACATCACCAATTGAAGTACCCTTGTATGTATTTTCTCCAACATGTGGGCATTAATGCAAAAAAAAAATAAAAAAATAAAAAAATAAAAAAAATCTAAGCTATGATAGATTTTGTATATTACACATAATTAATTGTTGAATTTCTTTTTTAGACTATACAGAAAATGCTCAAAGCACTTTACTTCCAGCCTTTTGACCAGAAGGAAAGAGAGAGGCAATCAACTAAAAATCAACAGGACAACTAAAAACATGTATCCATTTTTCAGCAAAAGTTTTGTCTACTTAATTACAATGCAATGATGTCAATGATGAGTTACCCCTCATGTAGGCAACTGAATTAGACTGTCAATAAAAAAAAAAAAAAATGAAGTGAGTAGTTAACTAGAGTGACCAAAAAACCTGAAATTTGTGAAAGACTCCTTTTAGTCACCATTTCTTTCTTTCTTACTTCTTTCATCTCCTTCTCCTCTCCTTCTTGTCTTTTTTCGCCTCCTCTTTCGTCTTGAGTTATTTCAAATATGGATTTTTCCGGCAATAACAAGTATTCTAAAATTGAATAGCTCACAAAAAAATTATGCACTCAGGTTCATCGGATTTATGAACCTCTGAGTGCATAAAAGGATTTTATTTTAGAGAGAAGATTATTTGGCAATATGTGCCCTAAATTATAAGCCATGTACATATTAGTCCATACACAATAAGTTATGACTTATAAGCCATAAAAAACTATAGACTGTGAGTTATGAGCTATTTAGAGCTGCCGTTGTTTGCCTATGTTCTGATACATATAGTTTAGTACACGTTATATGATAGCAAACGTGACTACTGTTTTAATAAGATGAAGGAAGAAGAAAAATAAAAATTCAGAGATTTTTTTATTCTTGTTTCTGTATTTATACAATGTGTCAAATGCAAAACAAAAATCGATCCATGTTGTTTTAGGGTGCAGAATACGGCTAACAAATGCTGGATGACAAAAGCTTAGTGATCATACATAGGTAACAAGTTGTATAGCTCGGTTCATTTCATCTCTACATAGTGCAATTTGCTTATAAGCATCAGGAGTATATATATGAATACATGAACATATACATTCAATTTAGCCTGTTTGTGCAGTTTAATAATGATAATTAAAGAGCGTATCTATTTATAGCCGCCTAGGATAAAGAAAAAAAAAAAAGAGACAAAGTGAGAAGAATAACAACTAGTTAGAAGAATAACAATAGGTGAGAAGAACAAAACAATAAGAGAGAAGAAAGAAATAAAATGCTAAACGATTTTTTCATTTTTCCTATTGTTCATATGTGAGGTGCACAACACAAAAGTATAACCATTTTGAATAAAAAAATGTTGATATAATTGTACAAATAAAAGCTGAACATACTATAGAATTATAAACATAAAGTGAAAGGGCTGAAAGGAAGGGAAATGAGGGGTTGAAGAGACAAGGAAAAATTTACATCCTTGTCAATACTAAAAAAAATCTAAACATAAAATGCAAGGGTTTAGTCTCAGCTAACGATGTAAATATATCTACCCATACATAAAATGCATAAACTAGTCGAATATCTTAGTTTTAATCTAGACGGTTAGAAGCTGTTTCATCTCAACGATGCCTCCTGTGGGAGCTAGAATTCACATTATTACCTTTACCAAAAAAGGAGTCAAGTTTTTAGTCTAGAACTGATGCAAGTTTCGTTCGTCTCTGTAATTAATAAAATGAAAAAGAATATAAAAGAAAAAAAAAAATTAAAAAACAAATATGGAAATAGCTGGATCGGCAAAAAGCACCTTTTGTTGCAGAGACTTTTTTAATAGGCATACACGCACGCACACATGGGGGGGGGTCGTATTTGACATTACAAATCGCCGCTATTTTACCAGAAGAGCACTAACTAAGAACTATATATGCGAATCTAATAAGTGAGGACTATATATGCGGATCTAATAAGTGAGAACTATATATGCGGATCTAATAAGTGAGGACTATATATGCGGACCTAATAAGTGAGGACTATGTCTGCGGATCTAATAAGTGAGAACTATGTCTGCGGACCTAATAAGTGAGGACTATGTCTGCGGATCTTATAACTAAGAACTATATATGTGGATCTTATAACGGTTTAGAATTTTCTGCAGAACTCTATACTAAAGCGGCTTAGCTTTTCTTTTCAAAATGAAAATCTATTTTTCATCAATTGACATTCTGTTTGTTTGTTTGTTTTTTCTTTGTTTGCAAGAAATTTCAAGTTCCTCCACTAAACCTTGAAAGTAAATTTACAGGAAAGAAATCATTTCTTTTTCAGTTTATTGGTCAATTATTGACATGGAATTATGCCTCTACTTGGGCAGTAACTCTGTTTAGATTTTCTCCTATGATCCAATTTTGATTTGAGAATTGAACAATATACCCAGCGCAGCTCGATAGTATATATCACTCTCTCTATATACTCTTGATATCTACACTCTATAGACTAGTCTCTCTCCACTAGTCTCTCTCCACTAGTCTCTCTCCACTAGTCTCTCTCCACTAGTCTCTCTCCACTAGTCTCTCTCCACTAGTCTCTCTCCACTAGTCTCTCTCCACTAGTCTCTTTCCACTAGTCTCTCTCCACTAGTCTCTCTCCACTATCTCGCTGCGCTCGATAGTGTCGTCTCGTCTAGTCTCTACAGTTGGTAATACTTTGACTTATACGAGGATGTCAGTGACGTGACAGTTTTCTTTTTTGCGACATTGAATAAATTGAAAAAAACGAAAATATAACAGGGGAAAACTCCGACTATATACGGTACAAGAGAGTAGTAGTAATTTACACTTTGGGTCAGCCGCTAACTAAACGTCGGAGGTTCGTCTATTCAAAATGAAGTCTTCGCATCAATTTCTAAATAGAGAGGTTTCCAAAGATAATACGGCAGAGGATAAGCAACTGACGGCAAACTCATTTATCACGAGTAAATCCTCATTTCTAAAAAATAATGAGTCGAAAAACGTTACTTTTGAAAGCATGAGGGAGAATCCAGGATTTTATGTCGCTGACGCAAATGATGTCATTGATTGGATTGATGGGTTAAAACATCGGTATCAGAAACTAAGGTTGAACCAGCGAGAAGAGTTGAAATTATTGAGAGAACAACAAGATGAAGAAAACAGGGCAAAACGATTGAAAGAAAAGTATAGAAAGAAGCATTTTGATGAGGATTTCATCAAATTGGGTAAATATTTGGAACGTCAAAATGATTTTGGAGAAAGCAAAGGGCAAGTCCTGGCGACGACTTGTAATGAACGCAATGTTGATCATACTAGGGGGGATATCATTCAAAAGAATAGTGATAGACAACTGCTGTTGCATGAAAAAGACCATTATAATGACTGGAAATCAACTGTCAGCCAAAGTCTGGCTAGTAGCGGAAAGGACATTTCTAGTGGTGATTCTGAATTTGGTGTGGCTGCTTATTCCCATGATATAACGGGGGAACCTCAATACAATTTAGATAAGAACCGTGAAGGTGAACAAGAAAATATGTATTTTGGTCATGGGGGAAGAAGCGGTGAAAAAATAGACAGTCACCAGTATAATAAAATGGATAGCGAGATTATTGAAATTTCGTCCAGCTCTGACGCAGACGATGTTGAAAATGACAATGACGACAATGTTGAAGATGATGATGACGACAATGATGATGATGACGACAATGATGATGATGACGACAATGATGATGACGATGATGATGATGACAACAATGATGATGACGATAATGACGACGATGATGATCACCAAGGTGAATACTCGGATTCCCACATGATAAATGATGATTACAGAGACGAGCAAAATTACAGCCAAAATCGATATTCTAGCATTTCATACAATCCACACGTGGTACGCCATACATATGCGCCCATGCTTTATTATAACGATGAAGATGAAGATGATAATGATGATGATGAAATAATGGAAACCACACATCTTACAAGATATGAGATTGAAAGTAAAGAACTGAAGTCCGCGATGAATGATGTGAATCATTTAGTCCATCGGAAAGAAAGTGATTATACAGAGAGGGAAGATTTGTCTGACAATGACGAGAATCTTGATATAGAGAAGTACTCTGAGGAGAGTGAAGAAAATGAGGAAAACGAAAATTATTCTTATGAGTCATGCAATGATGATGGTTGGGAAAGCGGTGCAAATAAGATCGAAAAAATATCTTGCAAAGAGGCGATACAAAGATCTGATCATCATTATCAGCATCATGATGATGATGATGACACTAAAGAGTCAATCCAAAGCGATGTTGACATGGCTGAGGATCACGAAAGCTACGGAGATCATTCTGAAATAAATCAGGATAACAGACAATTGAAGCAAAGTTTTGAGGAAGACAAAAGAATGGAGAAGGACTCGGAAGCAAGTTCTGCTGATTTCTACGAAAGTGTTGAGAAAAAAGAAGTTCTCTCAACTCATGCTTCCAACTTCATTGATTCTCAGTTAGAAGATTATGCAGATCTGGAGAAAGAAGATGATGAAACTGACGACCGAAATCATTACTCTAATATAGCTGCAACAACGTTGAGGACCCTGTACAAATTCCAACATTTTCACCAACAGTCAGGATACATGGCAGATTCTGAGTTTACTGATAACAACTTTGTAGCTAAACCTTCACTCGAAGATGATAAAGAATCTGATGCGTTTTATAATGATAATAATAATAATAATTTCAGACCCGAAGATTATGCTGCAGTTCCTGAGGCGTTTTATGCACATGAGTTGAGTAGTCAAAGATTGAAGGTCAATGACTTGGACAGTAATTTGTCCGATGCATCCTTAGCTGACGAAAGTCAATTTGAATCTGCAAAAAGTGAGTATCCCATCCCCGTTGCAAAGGAGGTACGCAATGATAAAGTGGAGGAGTACCCCTTGGATCAAATTGAAGATACACCTCCATTACCGGTTTTCAAATCAATTGCTGAAGAAGAACCATTGGTGACATTGAAGAAACTAAAAGAAACAGAGTTGAAATACAATGTCAAGATTGATGCCATAGAGGAGTTGGAAAAAAGCTTAAACATAACATCTCTGGAGGAGAGATTGAGCGGCGAAGAAAACAACTTGTTGTTGCTGACTCCAACACCTCCTCCTCTTTCTTCTTCTTCCAATCATGCCAGATTGCAACTGAACTTATCTGAAGAGCAAAAACAACAAAATGATTTTTTGGAAACAATTCCTGTGCCGGTTCTTGAATCGGTGGTGAATCTAAGTATGTCAGAAGATGAGGACAGCACTGAAGATTTTTCTACAAATGCTTCGGACATGGTGATATCAACCACAAACCCTCAGATGAAGGAAAGAAACGATGACCATGTAAAGACAAGTAATGACCTGCAGCTCAGTGATGTTATTACGATTGATGAAGTGAGGGATTGTAATGCGTGCAACGAAATTGATGATCACGGATTAAATGTGTTATCAAAAGTGGAGACTGATTTTGCACCTCAAGTCAATGGAGAGAATCACCTTGTAAGTAATGAAGAAGAAGAAGAAGAAGAAGAAGAAAAAGAGTCATGTGGGGCAATTGAAAACTCAAGTGATTATGAAGAAGATAAAGAAAGCGATATGAGCATCGGAGAGACCATTCAATTGGATGAAAAGAGGAGTGAAGCGAATGAAGAAAAAGAAAAGAAGGGGGATGAAGAGGAGGAGGAAAAGCAGAAGAAGAATGATGAGAGTGAAACACAAGGCATCAATGACGAGTATCGCAATCAAAATCAAAATCAAAATCAAAATCAGACTTTTGTAGCTGAAAGCGTAGAAAAAGAAAGAATACAGACTCAGAATAGTTATTCTACTACGACGAAAATTGATGAGCTTGCAAATTTGAAAGCACAAACTGAGCCTGTTGCAGAAACTGTTGAACTGTCCTCACCTTCACATATTGAGTTGGCTAATGAAGAGCAAGATTCAAATGGTGAGAAGACGAGTGCAGCGCTTCTTTGCCCTTTACCAATTCTTCAAAGTGCCACTGATCATCTGCTGTTGCTTGCACTGATACCCATGCCGATTGAACCCCCAAAGCTAGACTCGATTAATGAACTTGAGGTTGAGTCTGAACTGGAAGAAGACGCGTCCATGTCAAGCGTAGTGATTGAGGATGATATTGAGCCTGCCTTGGAGACTGATGACTATGCAAATATGGAAAATGCCGTAGCAGAAACGGCTTGTGTGGATTCGGTTGAGGTGGCTGCATCTGACACAATTGATACTTTGCAAGAATCTAATTACAAAAGTGAAGAAGAGAAAGAAGAGAAAGAAGAAAAAGAGGAAGAAGAAAAAGATGATGTTGATGAAGATGAAGATGAAGATGATGTTGAAGAAGAAGAAAAAGAAGAAGAGGAAAAAGAAAAAGATGATGTTGATGAAGATGATGAAGAAGAAAAGGTAGAAGTCTCTTACCAGAAGAATCAAAAAGTCAATAAGTTATTGACTTTTGAAGATGAGGTTAGTGGCGACGCACCAATTGAAGGCTCCACGATAGGTGGTATTGACCAGACAATCTTAAAGGTACCAACCTCTATAGAGTCGGATACACTTGACAAAAGCCTGAATAGAGATTCTATACAAACACAAGATGAGCTCCCATCAAACAGCCAAGTTGTGGACATTGTCGAGCCATTTACCAATGATGTTGCTTCAGAGATAAACTTTTCAGTTTCCAGTGCAGTAGTCTCACATCAAATCGAGGGAAATGACTGTCAAGGAACCACTCTTCGAACGACTCGTGTCTCTGAGGAGGATGCGGAAGGGGTATTGGACACAGGCAGCAATGATGAAAAAACGGGTTTTGAATGCAGTAATGATGTAAAAATTGTAGGTCTCATTCCCCATTCAGAATTGGACCGTGACGGAAGCTTTGATAAGGAAGTGGAAAAAACTGAAACAATAGCCAAAAATGAAATTGGTCTGGATTTGGTTCCAACAAAAAACACTACTGAGCAAAAAGTAGATGAAGAAAATCCGTATACTGTCGAGAGTCAAACTAATGAAGTGGAACAAATGCACGATGAAACAGAACTACTGGAACTGCTGAATGCATTTGCTACTAAAACAGATGTTTCTATGAGCTCTTTTGATACTGGTATGCCGCAGTCAGATGACAAAGATCATGAAGCAGATAAGCTTGAAACTGAGAGTGAGACAAAAAAATTAACGGAATATGATGTAGAAAAGATACTCAGCAACAGGGAGATTTCATCTAAAAATAAATCACAGCATGAAAACAATGAGAATGGTATAGGAACAAGTAATTTTGTCTTCCCTGCAATCACGCCGTTCGTGCAACTAGGAAGCTACATTGGTAGTTTAGCGAACAAGTACAATAATTACAAAAGAAATAGGGAACCACTCTATGGCACCACAACAACACGATCTGTCGAGATTTCATACATGAGACCATCTAGCCGGCGAAGAAAAAGAAGAAGAATTTCAAAGTTGCCTCTAGAAGAAAGTAAGCCTGTAGAGGAGGAGAAGAAGGAAGATAGGAAAAAAGAGAGGGAAGAGGAGAAAAAGAAAAAGAAAGATGATGAGAAGCAAATTACTACCAAACCTGAGCTAACTGGTTCTAAAAATATTGAAGTGAAAGACAGAATCATCATAAATGAAACAAAAGTTGCTGTACCAGATGTAACAGATTCTACTGTTAAAGAGGATGCTCCAGCTAGTCTGGACTCTAAAAAGAGACATTATCGTCGTAAAATCCTTGGCTTAGACTTGAATGAGATTGAGAGTTTTGAGTCAGTAAGAAGCTTACGAAATGGTAACGTGTATGGTAGCGAAGACTCATCAATGAGGTCTGATACTAGAATAACGCGATCACGCGATTCCACTAGAGATCAGTTAGATTTGAGGTATCCAAGATCAAGCTCGAAGTCCGACTCTTGTGAGCACGAATGTCCTGCGTCCAGAACGAGATCTAAATCGCCTATGAAAAGACCAGCTCATGCTATGAGCGAACCTTGTGAGCAAACAAGAAGGAAAAGAGCAAAGGAGTCTAATTTTGGAACAAACAATGAATTTGAAAATAATAGAGGACACCCGAGGGAGAAATAACTCACTCGTTTACTTATTATATGTGAGTATGTATTGTTTTATATGAAATGCATCATGCTCAATTCAAATACTCCAAAAAAGACCATGTTTGTTATAAAGGACCTTGCAATGGCTATTCCCAAACCTCGATAAGACTTTCTCTGTGACAATCCTGTTTTCGCTATATGGATCAAGTCTTTGTCCAACCCAAGCTGTTTTCTCAACATAGAAGTAATCATGTTCTTCTGAGCTAACGATTTAGCTGTATCTATGGGAAATATGAGGATCCAGCTGAAGACACCAGATAATCCACCAGCTAGTAGTATAGAATAGGAAGTTGGCCTTTTAGAGTTTTTGTTTGTTATCTCATTTATTGACCATTTCATGGATTCATAAATAGTATAATACATCCCGGTTGAAATCGAATCTCGCAAAAAATGTAGTTTGAAACCCGAATATAAACCTGTCCATCCGCCATATTTGACTATGGTATAAACTATTTGAAATGTTGATGTATTGTTTGTATGTAAAGGAGGCTGAACCACCACCTTGGAAAGTGCTTTGCTCTGTACAAGCTTTTCCAATTGAGCAAATATCTTTATGAACTCAAACGGGCATGCAAATAAGGAAACGCAACCACCTGCAATAAAACCCGATCCAAAGCAAACAGGCAAGTTTCTCAAAAAGGGGTTTGAACTTTGTACCATCCCAGACTCTCTAGTTTGAAACATTGTATTGTACACCAGTGGTTTGCACTGTGTGTATATGGAGACACTTAGAGATTTTGATAATGACGTAGATATAAGCGGAGCCCACACTCCTCTAAAGAAGCCTCCAAATCCCTCCTTTTGATACGTTTTCAAGAAGCAATCAAAGTAACTCAGAAAGTGCTTATGCGTTTGCATACGAACTTTCACTGTATCCATTGGATAACCTACCAACGTTGATGCTAGCGACGCAGCGTATGCGATGATGCTTGAGCGCAACGGTTGTAATCGCTCGGGGAACACGTGGATGGCATGCTTGTGGTCTATCTCGCCAGTTATTGCTGGAATACTACTCCCATTTTGCGGAAAAGTTCCCGACATACAACAAAAAGTCTTTCGCAAAGGTAGTGAGGTACAAGCTGGCCCCCCTCCGCGTTTTCTCTAGCAAAACAAATAGCGCGAGTACTAGTCAATTAGCTACAAAATCCTTGACTACCCCTCCCAAAAAGAGGGAAAAAAAAAAAAATAGGAAAAAGAATGGGAAATGGTAAAACAAGATGGAGAACAAATTGATAGAAATGAGAGTTTTTTTGGTGATAGTCATCACTTTTAAAATTTAGGTTCAATCAATCAATCTTGTAACACTTTTTTTCATCACCAATATTCTATATACAAAAAAATGAAGAATAAGAAAAAAAATTAATCTCAAAAATGTACACTATCGAGCAACACTACACTATCGAGCGAAGCGAGATAGTGTTGTAACAAGCTACTATGTGCTACTCGATAGTGTTGTAACAAGCTACTAAGTGCTGCAACACTATCGAACAACACTACACTATCGAGCAAAGCGAGATAGTGTTGTAACAAGGTACTAAGTGCTGCTCCACTATCTCGCTTCGCTCGATAGTGTTGCTCGATTGTATTGCTCGATAGTGTTGCTCGATAGTGTTGTAACAAGCTACTAAGTGCTGCAACACTATCTCGCTTCGCTCGATAGTGTTGCTCGATAGTGTTGTAATACAGAGTTATTAGTATCCTCTTCTTCTCGCATCATTGACTTGTGCCAACAAATCCTTAAATCCCACTAAAAACTTTCTTCTCCACCACTCACGTTTCAACTGTTTTCTGTATTTAGCAGGTCGAATATATCTCGATTGTACCTTTTGCAAATATCTAATCTTGTTCTCATTTACCACCCTCTTCACTTGAGTAAACGCCTTTGGGATATTCTTGTATGACACATTAACACTTCTTCCGGCATTTGTACCAAACTCGCGTATTCCTCTAGCAACTTCACGCGGGCTGGGCTCACGAGACGTTGCTTCGAATCCGAAATCGTCATTCATGGTATCTTTAAACGACAACTCTGGTATAGAGCTCTTTAACAATTCGTCAATATTAATCTTGTGCGTGGAGGAGTTCTTTTTCAGTGCATTTGTTCTGGTCTCATTGTGAACCTTAAATTGTTCATTAGTGGAGACAAATCTCCCCAAGGTGTAACCTGTTCCCAGAAGGAATGGGCCAAGTTTCAAAGGTGAAAACTTATTCCTAAACAAGACTCTTGCTAGCATCTCTGACTATAAAGAGCGTCTTCTTGTTAAGCTCAGTGGTCAAATTTGGGCTTCTAACGTTGGTCAAGAAAGGGAACCAAAAAAAAAAAAAAAAAAAAAAATTGGTGCAAACAAAGAGAGAGAGATTGGAGCGACAAAAAGTTTCTTTAGTACAATCTTTTTTTTCTTCATTCACTTAGTAGAGAAATATAGGGTTTTGTTTGATAGTTTATGATTAACCATTCGATTGGTTACGATGCAGAGTATTCATGCTCCAAACACGTTATCCAATGCAGCGCGGTTTCTCAATTCTGTGTGTCCCGGGTACACTGAGCTTGAAGAGAACTTTCATTACTCGCTAGAGGACAAATCTGTTCCACTTTCAACAAAAGAAATTGGTTGGCCAATATCAAATAGGCAAAATGGGCAGAATGGACAGAATGGACAGTCTATTAATCCGCACTCAAAATTGGTGCTAGAGAAAGAATACTTGAATATAAGTCGGCCGCCACTAGGTCAATTGGAGTCTACTACTTATGTTTCCCTACCGCTTCATCTAGTTACCGAGTTTAAGAAAATGGTAAACACCTGCGAGAGGGCACAAGAGGGAAACATGTATATTGGAGCAAATGTGAATCCTCTCACTCCTGATCCCTTTCGAAATATAAACCTCAATCCTGGAGCTATATCCACCATCATTGAAACAAAGACCGAGTTTCAATCAAGAAACCCTTTCAAGAAAGCCAATACCACCACCACAAATATAGAGGGATACAAAGATCTCACAAATATAGAGGGATACAAAGATCTCACGAATATAGAGGGATACAAAGATCTCACGAATATAGAGGGATACAAGGATCTCACAAAATGTCTGGATATCACAATTTTGGCTTGGAACAACAAATTTTCGTCTTGTGGGAAGTTGCTCGTGTCATCGCATGTCAATGTGTTAAACATTTTTGGTTTGGACGAAACCTCAAACCTCGTGTACACGAAAAAGAAACACCAGAAGCAAGGAGGAGATGGTGGGAAACTGATGGAAGTTTTGGTTGAAACACCCCTTTTACGACTCAAATTTGAAGATACATCAATCATCACTTCTCAGTGCGCATTTGTTTCAAATGGTGAAACTATTATTGTTTTAGGGTTCCATTCGGGTGATATCATGATTATTAAGCCGCAGATATTGAAACTAAAGAGTTTTGACCTAAAGGTCACTAAATCTGAAGCTTCTCTAGAAGCTGTTGGTGTTTCAGTGGTTGCTCTTGTGCATCATCCCAAATATGAATTTTTGATAATTGCCGGCTACACAAATGGAGAGGTTCTTATCTTGAACCCCTTTGGTATAGAGGACTTGACTCAATACAGGAAAAGTATTAAAGAAAAAAATCCAAACGTTACTATATTCAGAATGCACGACTTGAGTCCAATTGGAGATGCCAAGGATGATGTGAAACTACTTGCTCATTTCAAGATAAGTCATAAGGCTATTACTGCAATTACTTCCACAATGACCATTGAAAATGTACGTGACGCTGGTTTACAGCCTTTCCTACTAGCTATTGCGTCTGCTGATGGGTTTGTGAGGTTTATTGATTTGATGTTCACTTTCCGTATAGAAGAAAACAGGTCGAGTGGAACAACCTCAATGGTAACCGATATTATTTCAAACTACTTTAATACAGGCATCACGCATATTATGTTTAGCCATGACTACAAGTTCTTTTGCATACTGGGAAGAGGAGATTTAATTGAAGTGTTTAAAATGTCTTATTATGATGTTGATGGGCTTTTGCGAAAAAGCGATAGGCAACAGGGAAGATCCAGAAGCGGAACTATCAATAGCAGAACCTCTGGTGCCAATGCAGCAGAAGGTCCGCCACGAGCACAAACACAACAACAACAAAACCAATACCACAACCACCATCATCACCACAACCACAACCACTTCCTGTTCCCGCCTATAATCAAATGCATCGAAATTGTATGTCGTATTAAAGGTCATGCTAACATTGTCAATTCTGTTCAGTTTATGAAGGATAATGGTGATCTGCAGTCAACATACAAAATAGTTAGTTGTGGTGGTGACGGAAAGATTTTCGTATGGGAATTCGACTACAAAGCATTACCAAAGGTGAAAAAACAGCAGCAGCAGCAGCAGCAGCAACTACAACAACAACAACGGCAACAACAACAGACAAGTGTACACCCAACATCACACAGAGCTCGAGAAAGCCGCAGGTCAATGTGTGAAAGAAAAAGCAGCGTTCAAATACTACTACATAGTCCAAGTCCAGCCTCTAATATTCAGGGCAGAACAGCCCAACGTAGAAACAAGTCGGAGGACCCTATTCATAAAAATCAATCCTTGGCCACGCCGCTGCTAGTGAAAAAGAGCGCCAATTTAGCGAGCATTTTAAGCAATGACGAAAATTCAAAACAAGAAGATGCGATTGAAGTTGCCGCTTCTTTGTACAAGAAATTGCAAGACATAAGAAATCGAAAGAATGTGCAGAAAGTGTTTTTACAATATGGAACTATTATATCACCCATTGTAAACGACAAACTCGTTCCTTCGATTGGAATTCCTTTAGTCACGATGGATTTATCCAGTATAATTCCAGATGGCAAGATTAATAATGTGATGATAGACAATTGGTCATTATGGTGTTTTTGTAAAAACGGCGATCTATTTAAGTATAAAATTGTATAAAAAAAATTCTTTTTTTTTTACTATTATTATTATTATTATTATTATTGTTATTATTTGACACTTCTCTTCTCCCCCTCCTTTTTTTTTTTATTATTAATTATTTAGTGTTTTTTCTTTTTGTGAAAAATCATCAAAGGTATTACCATCTAATCCAAATCCTAGTTCTTCTTCTAGTCTATAATAGTCTGTCCCTGAGGGGGTTGTGTTAAAGTCAAATCCAATACCTTGAAAGTTTTCGTCATCCCTTTTTTCTCCTCTTACATATTGATCAACTTGAGGATTTGCCAGCTCAAGACTCGAGTAGGAAAAATCGTTCAATTCCTGCGGCTTAGGATAATCTGCGTCTCGCGTTTGAGACGGGAGAACATCAATCAAAACGTTACTTGGACCGAGTCCACGTTCATTGCTGTGGTAATCAATCTCTATTTTTCTATTTCGTTCAAATTCTTGCTTTTGTTGCTCTTGTATTTGCTCTTGCTCTTGTATTTGCTCTTGCTTTTTCTTCTCCTCCAACTGAAACTGTAGTTGGATTTGTTGTTGCTCCTCTATTGGTTTTCTGACAAATTCTCTAAAGTTTTTTACCTCCTTAATTATTAATTGTTTCATCTCAATCAACTCGTCACACGTTTCAAACGTTTTAAAATCAAATTTGATCTGACACTCTGGCTCATCTCTTGGGTCGTGCCAGACTTCTAGGTATTCGTGATTCAAAGCTTCATTCACGCTAATTCTCTTGTGGGGATCCAAAGACAACATTTTCTCCAACAAGTCTAATGCAAGAGGATTCGCATTTGGAAACAAGTGTTCATAACTTATTTTTTTCATAAAAGGTAATGATCTCACATAGCTTTGAGCTCTTTGAGAGCCGATTTTCACCAAGGTTGATTCTGGGGGTGTTCCCAATATCATCAATATTTGGTTGAGCTGGTCCACATAGTCCTTACCTCTAAAAATGGGTTTTCCTCCTAAAAGTTCAGCAAGTATACATCCCACAGACCATACATCTATAGCCTTTGTGTAATTTGTGAAACTCAACATAATTTCCGGAGCTCTATACCATCGAGTTGCCACATACTCTGTCATAAAGCCCTGATTTTGTTCAGGGTTTTCTGAAAATCCTCTTGCAAGACCAAAATCACAGATTTTCAATTCACAGTCGGCATTGACCAAGAGATTCCCCGGTTTCAAATCTCGATGTAGTACATCGGCGGAGTGGATATATTTGAGTCCACAAAGAATTTGGTATATGAATGATTGATAGTGCAGATCCGTAAGCGGCTGGCCCGATCTTATAATTTGGTGCATATCACACTCCATTAACTCCTCATATAGGTAAATTTCGTTGAAATCGCCTGATAAAGGATTAGGTATTACATCCAAATCGTACAAGCATGTTATATTCTTGTGACCTCGGAAAAACTGGAGGAGCTTTATTTCACGTAAAGCTCTCTTACACAATATTTTTTTACTAAAAATGTTGGTAATTTTCTTTATAGCAACATAAGACCCATTGGCAGAAGAAGATAAGTTGTTGTCGTTGTTGTTGTTGTTGTTGTCGTCAGGCATTGTGTTCTCTGACCCATCATCGTATTTGGCAGAGCACACTATTCCATAAGCTCCATGGCCCAACTCTTTGATGATTTTGAATCGACGATCAATGATAAATTCTTGGTTATAAACTTTGTTTACCGTCCTTCCATAGTAAAGTGGACTGCTATCTTGGTTCATGCGGCGGAGGAAGTGGTGAAGAAAAAGGAAAATGAAGCCTGGGGGGGTTCTAATAAACCAGAAAGGAAAAAAAAAAAAGAAAATTAAAAATTAAAAACTAAAAAAATTAAAAACTAAAAACAAATTGAATATATCGTTTATGCTTTACTGAACTTAATGACTTGAGATGTAGATGTGTAGTAACTCAAGATGTTGAAGCTGTTTTCTTTAAAGAAGGCTGAAAAAAAAGTTTTGAGGGAGAGAGGAGATTGAAATTTTTTTTTTTTTTTTTTCTTCTCTGTCTTTAATTGAACTTCTATTTTTAAACCAAAAAGAAAAAAAAAACATCTTGAGATATCAATGTCATTTACTAAAGTTAGGGGACGACACTAAGTGAGGGAATTAGCTATGGAAAACATGAAACCCGTGTGAACCCCTGAGATGAAGCTGCTGTATAATGAGCTCTTTATGGGATATTGTAGAAAACAAGCTCCTATTGTTGTGCTGTTCTTGAAGAAGTTGTGACTTTACATATTGTAAAACGCGGCCAATTTGTAAAAGTTTGAGGCAATACATCTAAATGTATGTGTTAAATATTAGGATTGACACTTTTGTTTCTCTACTAATAAGTGAAGAATTCTCTATTAATAAGTGAAGAATTCTCTACTAATAAGTGAAGAATTCTCTACGTTTTAGTCAGTGGCCCTGTATGTTAGGTATGAGAAAGAAGTAAAGGAAAACCCGATGGAATAAGTCCATTGAATTCCAAGACTTGATTGAGCGATTCCACCGATATTCAGGTTAATGATCCATGAATCACAAACAAGGCCCATGTTGCTGATTTTTTTTTCCCAATAATGTAAGTTTACCAAGTTGCGATACAAGTAAAAGTAATTTCTCTGCTGTACAAATAATTTCTTCAATATCCGAGTGTGTAATCTCTTCAATATCCGAGTGTGGTCCGGTTTCAAAGTTGAGTAGAAAAATGTGTCTCCGTCAATAGAGATTTCGAAAGGGAGGAGGGGGGAGGAAGAGCAAGAAGGTGTGGCACTGCACATGATCATACATACATATGTCATCATTGACACAAGATTGACGGATATTAAAAACCCAATTTTTTTGTGTTTGTTTGTCTACCGTGAAATTCTTTATCCTTTTCTTTTTCCTTTTTTTCCTTCCACACACACCCCCCCCCCCATTATTCAACGAAGTTGATCAAGGATCCCGCAAATAACCTTATTATTAATGGGATAGCTTTATGCTTTTGGGGCTAAAACCTGTCAGGGAAAGCCTCCCTGAGCTCAGGATAAGCTTTATTACACAGACACTATATCAAAAGTATGTTTCAAATATTTCTCATGTTTTTTTTTTAAATTGAACAAATTTTCCTTTTTTGGACACAACAGTCATGCCTTCTTTTGAGGGAGAGGAAAAAGAGTTTGATAATGGGACAGAGGTACAAAGTGGGAATGTTTTATATCTGTTTTTGCAAGGAAACATGCATAATATGCCCTGTTTCGGTTCCTTTATTGTTTAACATCACCAGCCTGAAGCAAAAAAATTTCATTTTTTATGGCTATGCTCCAAACTTTTTACAATTTGTTGGTTCATGAACTAGCGATATTGTGAACGGCTGACCAAAAATTGCATTAGAAAAAATAGTTGTGTATCTTGTTTATTTTTTTATAATTTTAGTCTCAGTATAAGCGATTGTGCAGCTTAGAGCTTGTACACAATAAAAAGTAGCACACGGGAACTTTTCAATAGGATTCCCGTACTTAAAGATCACTCTCAGACAGTAAGGTTTGAGAAAAAAAGACAAAGGAGTCCTATGGAATAAGGTTATTAGGTGAATAAAGAAAAAGAGAGGAAAAGAGGAATCGTAGATCGGGGCTTTTCTTTTTGGTGCGATTGCAAAAAAAAAATCTCATCTTAGCCGTTTTAATCTAATTACGAGATCCTACCGCTAGATTTTCTGTGAGACTACTAGTAAAAAAAAAAGTCAAAAAGAACCAAAAATGAGAAAAGCAAAAAAAAAAAAAAAATGAAAAAAAAGGACCAGTATAAAGAGAGCTTAACCAAACAAATGTCTCCCGAAAGGAGATTCATACCGGCAATGTTTATTCAAGAAGAACAAGGTGGAAGCTGCCAGGAGGACAAAACTAAAACGAAAGACAAGGTAGACCAAAAAAAAAAAAAAAAAAGGACAAGAAGCAAAAATATTTGGGAAACTTTAATAGTGACGAAGTGAAATATTTTATCTTTAAATACAATACTGATCCAAGAAAAGTAGTTCAGTGCAAAGCGATAAGCTTTTTTTGACCGATTTAGTGATTTAAAGTAATGAATGATGATCTTTCATGAATAGATAGTCGCTTTATTAATTTCCTAAAGAAAAAAATAATTCAAAACATCTTCTTTTTCTCCTCTTCCTCCTTCTCGGCGGCTGCCATTATTTTGAGGGGGGGGACTTCATATTGGGTTTAGTAATGCCTGACGTATTAACCTTTTTTTTTTTCCTCAACCTCTCCGTTTTCTTGGATTGATAAAAATATGTACTCACTCAAAAATCACTTAAACTATCCCGCCTCTACCATCGAATCATCAAAGAATGTGACTTTTGTACGTGACGTAATTTGCACTTTTGGTCAATTGACTGTGGTCTTTTTCAACCAGTTGCATTAGCGCCTTCTTATTTGGTCTCCTCGCTTTGCACTTTTTTTTTTTAGTTGAACCCTAGTTGCATTAAAAAGATCAACAAAACCTCCAATTTTTGTTTGTTTTTTCTTTGTTCTAGAAAAAGATCTTATCTAAGTTTAATTATCAGAGTTTAAACATTTGAGTTTAAGAATTTGAGTTTAACAATTTGTTTAAAAATTTGAGTTTAACAATTTGAGTTTAAACATCTGAGTTTAAACATCTGAGTTCCGTGTTTGCTGGTAAGAATGCTATTTCGTGAGACAAAGTTAGACTTCTTTCTAGAAAATTTAATTTGACATCTCCTGTAGATTCATGCGAGCGAATTATTATTATTTGTCTTTCCTAGAACCGTGGTGATGGTTGATAAGAATAAAGAAGTTTACTCTTTTAGATATATATGAATCAACTTCACCAGAGGGAAAAAGAGACAGTTGTAAATCATTCTTCTCCGTTAAGGGGAAGGGGGAGGGGAAACTGAATCGTTTTTCTTCAACAATCGAGGTATAAGAGAATGTTTGTAGAGATAAGACATACATTAGCGTACAAATACAGTACCTAACAAACACAGTACAGTTGAAGCTTTTACATCAAAGATATGTTTCTTCTTTGTTTTCTCGAGGCGATACTTAGATACAATAGAAGGTATAGATAAAAATTATTTTGCTTTTTTTTTTTTTTTTTTTTGATAATTATTTCTAGTTGATTTTCACTTTCTTCTTTATTAAGAAATCATCATACGGAAATGTGAAGATAAGAAATGGCAAAAATTCTTGATATATTTTATAACAAAAACCGCCTTCATAGTTGGAAATCTTAAGTTATTGGTTAATAATGTTTGGAACTCTGGTATTTGAAAGAAGGCTGTTTTTGGCAGAAATTTAATGATCCATATTTTTGTCTCTTTTTTTTTTTGTTTTCTTTTCTTTATTTTGCCCTTTTCTTGACAAAGAAGAAGAATGATGGTTTCGAGGAGGCAAGTGGCGTGAGCAAAAAGGATATTTTTATGAATATAAGCTTTCAGTTCAACTTTAATTGAATTGTCTTTTGGAAAGCTTATAAAAACAACACACTTTTGCGTCTGTTGGAGGAGGACATTTTCCTTTTAGTTTTTTTTTTTTTTTTTTTTGGTCAAGCTGGAATACTTATCAAGATAGTACACACACAAGAGATCTTGTGAAAAGCCACTCACAAACAAAGAGAACAACTACTAAGCAAGAAATTTGCAAGTCAAACATTTTCTTTCCAACAATAACAAGCTATTATTTTGTACATCACGAGTTTGGTATTGCTCAATAATTGTTCAATTGCTGGTCAAGACATTACACCAAGGGGTACTATTAGTTAAAAATTCACCTAGGGGTATTACTTGGGACCATATAGTTCAAAATTTTATCAAAGGGTATCCCAAAATCTAACTTTTTTTATTTAAAATTTTCCCATTAGGACGAATCGTAAATCTTTACAGGATTCAATAGTGAGCCTCGTAAAGGAAGAAGAAAAAAAAAAAAAAAAGAATAACCTAATTACATATTCGGGACTATTTTAATTATTTGGACTAAAAGTTTGTGTGTAAAGAGTTAGTTTACTTGGCCATCTTTTATAACCATTTAGACACTAAACTTGATATCAATCAAACTTTTTTTTTTTCCACACATACACTCACATCCAAGAGATATAAAACACATACAAGAACAAATAGATATCCGAGCATATTAACAAAGAAAACAACAAAGTTTGCTTTGTTATTTTTTTTTTTAACATTTGCACATTTATTTCCTTTAAATCGGAGGATAATTTTTGCAAGTGGTTAAAAGACAGCTTTGAAGTTTAAAGAAAAAAAGCTTGAAGCAGTGGGCATTTTGAAATGCCATTTTTTTTTCAACTCCCCTAAAAACATTTTTTAGACTTGAGAGAAAGAAAGAAAGTAAGAGAGAAAAAAAAGAGCAGCATTTTTTTTTTAAAAGAAAAAAAAAAAAAAACATCCAACTCGTGTCCCGTTGACGAATATTTCGTGTGAGAAACACTAAGTTAACATATCCCGTATTTCTGTGTATTCTCGGTATCTGTGATATTACTTAAAACATTGAAAAGCACATAAACAAAGAAAAGATAAAGTTTTTAGGTCTCAAAGAGAGAGACAGAAAAAATAGAGAATAGAGAATAGAGAATAGAAAGAGAAGTATAGAGGCAGGAAGAAAATAAAGGTCTGAGGAAGCACACTTTCTATTTTAACATTAACATAAGTCTAAGGACAAGTTACAAGGATAAATAAACATAATTGTAAAAGTATCACAAATTACAATTTTGAAAACTAAAAAAAAAAAAAAAAATTAAGGTCCATTTTAGTATAAAATATCAACCAATTTTCCTTATTGAAGAGGGAGAGGCTTGTGGGAAATTTTTGAAGAAACATTAAGCAAGGATTCCGATTTTTTTTTTATTTTTATTTGGCTTGTTTGAATTGAGTCCTTGAATACTGAAGTTATAATGAATTCGTCGAATAAAATTGAGCGAATGGATGACTTGGCCTCGTTGTTTTTGCCGGAATCACTTCAGACGCTACATAACTCGTCGCCTATGACTTCCACCAATAACCACAGGAGTAACAGTAACAGCAGCGACAGCAGCAATAGTGATAACAACCATCATACAAGCTCGAACTTGTTACTACCGAAGGACAACATGTCTGTCACCGAGAATATGGAACATGACTTGAATACGCGGGAGAAACCAGATTTAGAGAATAATAATGGTTCCGATAACGTCACATCTAATGCAAACATATCCTCTTCTACAAGCTACCAAGATTTCCTCAATAGTAACAATTTTATCAACAGACCTACTCATGATGTTGATACGGAACAGCCATATTCACATATCAATCATTACTCTCTATATCTACCGTACGAAACTAACCCAAATATTCTTCCACACTACCCAAACTTTCATAATCCAATTTACCAACAATACTTTCCACAGCAGCAACATCAACAGCAGCAGCAGCAGCAGCAGCAGCAGCAACAACAGCAGCAACAGCAGCAGCAGCAACAGCAACAGCTCAATTTCCAATCACAGGGACAACAGCTACAATCTCAGTCATTACAATCTCAAGTTCAGTTTATTCCAGACGGTGGACCTATGCTGATGATTCAGTCACCTCAAGCAGGTACACAACAACTATCTCAACCAAATGGTAATAATTATGGACGAGGTTTCGAAGAATATTCAGCAAACAACTGGATGAACAATACGGAGTACAGCGGTCTTCCCCAGGGTAATAATTCTTATTCACAAGAGGCACCGAAAGACTTGGAACAACCCGACAGTGGTCCTACAAGTCCTAAAAAGAAGAAAGCTAAACGGAGAAAACGTGACTCTAGGCAGCCCTTTGACTTTCACATTGATTACAAACCAACAAAGATTAAAAAACTTTTAGATTTTGAGCAGTCCGGTATAACGAGCATTAATGACTACAAGATAATCGATAATAATAACAATAATGTTGCCGTTGATTTCAGTGGGTTTTTGAATGGTCGGTTTTTTACAAATGATACCGACAACAACAACTATATTTTCACTAAAAATGAATTGCAGAGAAATACCGGAGGGGCTCAAGCACAAAGAGATAGTCATAGTACAAAGATGGAAGATCCTAAAGTGGTATCGTGTTATAGAAGAAACTATGTTCAAGTGTTGATCAACATGAAACTTTCCGGTTTGAGTAGTGATTTCAAGTTGTTGCAGTTGCAAACAAGTGAGTACGGGTACACAACAACGCGGGTAATAAAGTACTTCAAGATTGGAATCCATGCAGTGACTAATATTTCAAGTTCTAAAAACGTACCAATAATAATACGGAATGACCTTAAAGACATAGAAAGAGAAAGAGAAAAGGAGAAAAAGAACCAGACAAATTATCCTTCTGAATCGAAAGAAGACATTGTTCAGCCAAATTCTATTAGTTCGCAAGAGCATGTGGTGGTTCTTAATGAGGAGATGATGCCAGTACAAGCAAACGGGTCGATTGATAAGTTTTTTGTTGTTAAAAAGTTGCAATTTAAGAATGCCACTCCAAATAATGGTAACTTGACGTTTCAAAACTATTACCACTTGAAGATCAAATTGAGTTGTATTGTTGCTGATATGTATTATGACGATTATGTTGATAATATGGATGTACCTATTGACAAGAATGGGAACACAACAGGATTTAACAATAATGAGTTTTTGCTCTCGGAATTAGTTAGCGAGCCCATTATTGTTAGAGGAAGGAACCCAAGCTTTTATGCTGAAAGAAAAGATATCCTCATCAAGTGCCGACAACCAAACTCAAGAAAAAGTTTCAAGTTGGCAGCTCAACCATCTGAGACCAAAGAACGAATCTACCATAATAATGAGGATGATGAGGAAGGAGCTGATCATACAGGAGGAGGCGGAGGAGGTGGTGGTGTCGACGATGATTCTATTACTGACGATGCGATCGATGCCGCAAACAGTGGGACACGTGAATTAACCGACGAGGACGAGGGCGACAAGATGGAAGAATTTGACTATGGTTTACTATATGCAAGTAATAGTCATGATGAGAGCGATGGCCAAGATTCACCGATGGATGAGGTCAAGAGAAAGAAAAACGAACAGAATCAGCAAATATCTGGGTATTCTACTACCACTAGTAGTACCAATACTACATCATTAGACCTTAATATGGTTGATAAATACAAATACTTTCCGATATCCAGCCATTATTACTTGCCACCTGTTAATGTTGTTTACTTCCCACATCGAGCCCATCATCCTATTGATAAAGAAGACGAGAATAATAGTATGAGTATGGAACCTGTTGTTGAGAGGAAGAGCTCAAATTTATACTTTAAATAAGTTGTCTTTTTCTTTTTCTTTTTTTTTTTCCCCTTTTTTTTTTTTTTTTTTTTTTTTTTTTTTTTTTTTTTTTTTTTTTTTTGCTGTTCTTTATCAACACGAAGAAGAAAGACAAATT